TACTTGGTTCACTGGTCGGGTTGCAAGAACAGGCACTGGCACCATCCAGTACCACCCCAGCCAGGCCAGTGACATTGGTTGCTTTGTACATGGTATCAAGAAGGTTGAGAACAGTTTGAGAGATGGTAAGAAAAAGGCAGAACCCAAAGGCAGAAAGCTCAGCTTTGCTCCTGTGTTCTCATCATCCAGCATTTGTTGAGCCCCTCCTCCTGGGTCCTGGGCATGCCAAGTCCTTGGCACTTGAGTCCATCTGCAGTGTGGCCTCAGCATGTGGCTGTGGGCCGCAGGTTCCTGTCAGATGGGTATGGAAGTCGAGTGGGAACCAGTTGAACGCCAGGCTTCTGCTTCAGCCTTTCTAGTCCTTGCTACAAATTCAGGAACACCTGGGGGCTGCTGATTCCCAGAGCCCCGGGGATTGGGACAGGAAGTCTTACTCAGCCCACGCAGACCTCTTGCAGATCTGTTTTCCTCCTACCTTCTGCCATGCAAGAATGCTACTCCCTAGGCACTGGGCTAGGTGTGGGCACTGCTGGCTTCCCCGTGCAGTCAGATTCCAAGCCTCTCACCTCTTCCTCACCCCCAGGAACCTCCAGGTAGCCTTTTGTAACCTAGTCCCAGTGAAATGTGTTTCCTGCCATGTGCCAGCCCAGCAGGGCAGCTGCACACTGTACTTCTTCCCACCAGTGTGACAGACCCAGGCTGGCTGGTAAGGTATATAAAACTGCTTTGTGAAATGGCCAGGAAAAGGCTGCATTGAATCTACAGATGCTCAAGTCTGAGCCCTTGGAATATTGGCCTTTCAGCCTAGAATAAGAAAGCGAACCACCCTTCCCCTTCTCATTCCCCTTCCCCTAGTGTAAAGAGGGAGAAGAGTCAAATTCATTCCTGTTGAAGAAGAAAGCCCCTAAGCTGTATTGGCATGCCTTCCTCCTCTACCCAACCCATATCGTTGCTTCTGGAGGCCACAAGGGCCCTCCTAGAGCACATGCAGAGGGAAAATGACCATAGCCCTTGTGGGGAGCTGTTTGGGACCTAGAGAAGTCTACCTTGCCCTTTGCGCTCAGAGCTGAATCACCCTTGAGTAGGGGAAATGCAAGGGGAATCTGCTTCAGGATCATGGTGTTGCCACACTCCAAGGAACTCACCTCAAGTCTAGAGGGAGGAGCATGTGAAGGGGCAGGGAGAGCTGTAATCATGTCAAGGATATCATTTATGTCACCCATTTCAGGGGTGAGATGCCCAAGACACAGGAGGGAAGAAATGGCCAAGAATGTCTGTGGATGCTTCCATCCTCTCTGGAAGCTAGGCTTTGAGCCTGCTCATTTTTCTGTTCATTGTCCTTTCTGGTGGGCCCTCAGGTTAGCCAGACGTCAACAGAGAAAATGACCTTAGGTTGTCCTAGTGTCTGAGAAGCCAAGTGATTTCTCTCACAATTCCTGTGCACAGAGACTGATGTATCAAATCAGTTCTACTTTGTGCTTTTTCCTCAGGGTTCCTCATGGGGGTTTTAAATCATAGATCTTTCTGGGAATGAAAAACCCTGATTTTTATGATTTCCTAGTATTTCCCTTTCCACCAAAGTAATTAGAGGACACAAACAGCAACAGAAGAGGCCACCCTAGCAGTCACAGTCCCAACACGACCATTCACAAGCAAGATGCGGGACTTCTCTGGGCTTGTGTCCTTGTTCACAAAATGGGAACAATACTGTGTGCCTTGCTAGCTTGTAGGATCACGAGGCTCAGGAAACATGCATGTGAAATGTCAGTTTGTATCACTGACAGGGCTCAAAAACAAAAGTCTTTGAGTGTCGAGAAGTGATCCTGCTGCAAGCTCTCCCTCCAGGCATAGTCTGCTCACTTGATGAGTAACCTTATATTGCCTCTTTCACCTGTCCTTCATATATTAATCTTAACGCACATCTGTCTTTGCTTTCTCTATTCTGCATCCCACATCTGGACTCCAGGAGGTCTCCATTAGCATGTCCCTATGGAGATGCCTAATGGATTGACACCTCCCATCTGACTCAGTTCATCGCTTCTGTGCTCATGCTCATGCCTGCCCCCCAGAGTTCCTCTCTAGTGACAAACACCCCTCTTTGCTCAATCCTTGTCAGCATGTGCACTGCTGCACAATGTTGGTCTCCAGAGTGGGTTCTCCATCTTCAGACTCCTCCAGTCCATTCTCCAGGAGCTTCCAGAACTCCTGGAATCAAGATGCACCTCCAGTGCTTCTTGGTTAAGTAGACAAGATTCAGGCACACAGCACGGCACAGGTTGGCAAGTTTGTCCTAGGGAACTTTGTCTCACCTCCCTCTGCGGCCCCACGGATCTCTTTGCACCTGACTTAGCAGAATTCCTGCAGTTCAAAGGTACATACATAACACACCTTTGCATGGAATCTCTACACTGCACCCAAGCCTTTGCCTGTCAGCTTACTTCATTGTGGCCTTCTCTAAAGCCCTCCCTGGACAGTCCCCACCCTGAGTGGGTAACTTCTTCCATACCCCTTATACCTGGGCCTCTGTGTACCAAAAGGCTATCTAGGACCATCATGGTGCACATTTTATTTTCTCATTTAGCCTTCCTGGCTATACTCCTTGAATCCTGAGACTATGGCTCAGATACTTTTGAGTCTCCATCATATAGAATGTTACAAAAATATAAGAAAGTGGAGATTGGTTTGTGGCTCAGTGGTAGAGCACTTGCCTAGCCCACATGAGACACTGAGTTTGATCCCCAGTACCACATTAAAAAAACTAAATAAATAAAATAAATGTATTGTGTACATCTAAAAATATTTTTAATATCTTTTTAGTTGTTGATGGACCTTTATTTTATTCACTGATTTATATGTGGTGCTGAGAATTGAACCCAGTGCCTCACAAACATGAGGCAAGTGCTCTACCACTGAGCCACAACCCCAGCCCCTAAAAATATTTTTTAAAAAAAGAAGAAGAAGAAGAAGAAGAAATATAGGGGCTGGGGTTGTGGCTCAGCAGTAGGGTGCTCACCTAGCATGTGTGAGGCGCTGGGTTCCATCCTCAGTATCACGAAAAAATAAATAAATAAATAAAGGTATTGTGTTCAGCTACAATTTAATTTTTTTTTTTTTTTAATATAAGAGGGGGCTCGGTTGTGGCTCAGCAGTAGAGCACTTGCCTAGCACGTGCGAGGCCCTGGGTTCGATCCTCAGCACCACATGAAAATAAATAAATAAAATAAAGGTATTGTGTCCAACTACAACTAATAAATAAATTTTTAAAAAAGAAAAGAAATATAAGAAAAGGGTTGGGGTTGTGGCTCTGACTAGAGCACTCGCCTAGCACATGTGAGGCCCTGAGTTTGATCCTCAGCACCACATAAAAATAAATGAACAAAATAAAGGTATTGTGTACAATTAAAAAATAAATATGAAAAAAAAAAGAAAGAAATATAAGAAAAGACCATTGAGCCCGTCATGGTGCTCACCTGTTCTCTTGGCTTTCTCATTCCTGGTTCTGCTGCACCCCCTCATGTGCAGGAGCTACCTTCTTCTCATTCTCTTTGGAAGGGAAGCATGGTCTTCTTTTTTTCTTTTTTTTTTATTTAAAATGGAGGTGCAATTCACATGATGGGCTGAGTTTGTGGCTCAGTGGTAGAGCGCTTGCCTAACGTGTGAGGCACTGGGTTTGATCCTCAGCACCACATGAAAATAAATTTTAAAAATAAAGGTATTTCGCCCATCTACAACTTAAAAAAAAAAAATTTTTTAAAGGGGGGCGGAGGATTGACCATTTGAAATGTACAGTTGAATGGCATTTAAGACACACAGTGTCGTGCAACTACAATCTCTGTCTGGCTTTAGCTTGATTCCACTTCTGAGGTCTGTAGTCAGATTCATGGAACTGGAGGGCACACTGTGGTTGCCAAGGCTGGAGGAGGAAGAGGTAGGGAGTTGCTGTGCTGTGAGCATAAAGCTTCAGCTGTGCCAGACAATCCATCCCAGAGATCTGCTGTACAATATTGTGCTCATAATTGATGATACTGTATTGCACATTAAAAATTGTTACAAGGAAAAAATTTGTTAAATGCGTTGATTCTCATACTAAGTGTTCTTACCACAATTAAATAGAAAAATTTTAAAGGAGCAAAGAAAACCCCTTACCCATTAAGCATTGGTTCCTCATTTCTTTGCCCCCAGCCCTGGTCTACCTTTTATCTATTCTGGACATTTCGTATAAATGCTATCATGCAATGGGTGGCCTTTGTGTTTGTCTTCTCTCAGTGTATTTTCAAGGTTCGTTCACATTGTGGCATGTATCAGTTCTTCCTTCCTTTTCTTGGAGGAGTATCTATGTATGGTATACTCTTCAGTTTCTCCATTCATCAGCTGGTGGTCATGGACTGTTTTCACCTTTGGGTATTGGGAGCTGTGAACATTCATGGACAGGTGTTTGCTGGAGCACCTCATTCTCCACTCACACTCTTGCCTTGAGCACCCTCCCCAGTGCTGTTTTTCTAAACCAGAAATCAGCACCCCTGGAGTAAGTGTGTGGGGAGGGGAGTGTATTAATGGAGAAGGCTGCCTCATCCTGTCTTTGCTGCATCTAGCACTCTCCAAGCGTTTTGTTGTTGTTGTTGTTGTTGTTGTTGTTTTGTTTTCTTTTGTGGTGCTGGGGATTGAACCCAGGGCCTTGTGCATGCAAGGCAAGCACTCTACCAACTTAGCTATATCCCTAGCCCCCCTTTTTATTTTTATTTTTATTTATTTATTTGGTCCTCCTGGACCTTAGGTTAATTTCACTTTAGGATTAACTCCTGTTTTCAGATATTTAACATGTGGACATGTTTTGTCTCCATAGTGAGGGTCTCGATGTCAGGGTTCTACTGCTCAAGTTTGTGTACCCACAGAGCCTGGCAGTTTGGGTTACCAGGCTAGTTGCTAGACCACCCAACTAGTTGCTTTGTGCCACCCACCCACTGGTGACTAACCCCTTGCCCTTCCTGTCCTCCTTGCAGATGATGTGCTGACAAAAGATGCGGGTGAGTGTGTGATCTGCCTGGAGGAGCTGCTTCAGGGGGACACGATAGCCAGGCTGCCCTGCCTGTGCATCTATCATAAAAGGTACAAGGGCCCGGCAGAAGCAGCTCAGCATGCCCCACATCCCACCAAGCAGACCCTCATCACCAGCCATTCTGTCTGTCCCCTTTGTGGGATATCTCCTCCCACCAAGGACCCCCCCAGTGTCACTGTGTTAATGGGAAGGTTATAGGGATACAAAGTAATAGAATTGCCTGAGGTTCAGCTCTGTTTTAATGGCTCAGATGGTGGGAGCAGGTAGGGAGCTGCACAGGTTGGAGGTACTTAGGATCCTACCTAGAACTTGACTCTCATCTGCCTCCCTGAGCCTTTTCTTTCTGTGTAGACCTCTCCCTACCACAGGGTGAGAGAGGCAGCATGGAGGGTGTCCTTGCTGCCCTGTGCTTGCCCTTCTCCCCAGAGGGCCAGGAGGCAGAAAGAGCCACAGTCCATGGGCACCAATCTGTGGGCACCAACAGCTGCTATAATTAGCAGGGCCAAGATTCATCCTCAGGCTTCAGCAGGAGCCTTATTCTTGTTTCCAAGTGGAAAAAGGATACCTTCTTGCCCAAGAAGAGAGGGTGCCCTGTGTTCCTGTGGCCACCACCTGCTCTCTACTCCTCAAACCCAGAGCTGCTTCTTGGCACACAGGCTTCTCTAAGTCCAGCCTGGGGCCACTAGTCTAGTGTGACCACTATGCCTGATACGTGGATGTGACTGGTGCAGAGGCTTATGGTTGGCCTAGGGGATAATTATGATTCACGGTCTGAGTCTCAGCACAGAGCCCTGCAGTGTCCCAGGGAGGAACTAACCAGAACCAGAAAAGACAACCCCTGTCCTGGGGGAGTCTTGTGCACATTATCCATCTGGTTTCTGTCTTTGAAAAAGCCCAGGTTGGTTTACAAATCGGGACCCTGTCTTGGGGCAGTTGTTCTCTGTAAACTAAAAGCCCCCTCCCTGGTTCACTTTCTTAGTCACCATAGCCTGAGGGTCCAGATCCTCTTTCCACCTTTGCAACCAAATCAGGTAGATCTCAGGAGTCTTCTGAGAAGGTATCCACTGGGGAAGAGCCTCACAGCTCCTTTAACCCGGGAGGGTGCTCTATCAGGACCCTAGAAGCAGGAGCACTTGCCAGTCCTGCCGTGTCTTTATTCCTACTCCCTGCACCTCAAGCCTTAGAGGTAGTTGACTAGCCACCCTGCACAGTCCCTGCACCCCCCGTCACCTTTTCACCAGTAGCTGTTGCCATCTTCCTCTACCCCTTCATTTGGCCTTGGTCCCCTCCCTTCCTGTAACTCCAGGTCTTCCTCTAACGCCAGGTCTCCCTGAGCCTGCACACCACTGCCGACACTGCTGAACCAAAACCAACCCTGATGTCCTCCCTTCTTGCTTTAAGCAGCGGGTACATGATTTTTTTCCTGGGGTTCTTCCAGGAGAGATTTAGGGAACCTTTGTTTAGTAGTCTGACCCCTGAAAGAGCCACCTTTGCCAAGACTGTGTGTTTTAACAGCTAACATGGTTTCCCCTTGCTGTTCCTCCCTCCCCCCCTGTCCTCAGCTGCATAGACTCGTGGTTTGAAGTGAACAGATCTTGTCCAGAACACCCTGCGGACTGACCCTGTCGGGCTTGCTTGCCGAATCCTCTCAAAGGTGAGCCCGTGCTTGGAGGTGCTCCAGGCTCAGGGTTGTGTCACTGGGGGCCTGGTGGTGGGGGAACTGAGGTGCGTCATCTGTAAGTAGTTAATGGAAATGGAAGAGATTTTTCCTAAGGAAACATAAGGGATGCACACTCAGGTGCACATGTTCATGAAGAACATACTCAGAAGAGGTAGAATTAGTTGGGGAAAGATTAGCATATTCCGGATGTCCAGGGTGAATCTCCCTGAGGAAAGTTCTGAAAGATCCTCTGGGAACATACTCAGACAGAAGTGGATAAGCTCGGGTTTGCAGCCGGTGGCACCTTGTCCTCACTCACCTGTGTCTCCACTTCTTTGGTGATGGGAAGAATGACTCCCTGTGGCCTTATGGACATGCACTCAGAGTTAGACAGCCTGTGGACAGCGCATTGTCCACTGCAGAGCGCTTTCAGTGGGCATTTCACTGCTGGTTCTTCCACTTGCAGGCCACCTCCCTCACCCACTTCCAGAGACTTGGCCCCTCGGTCCCACAGCACAGGGTCCTGATTGCACCAGGCTAGCACCTCATCTCCCTCCCATGTGTGCACATGTGTCTCCCAGTGTAACCATTGAGTCTGTCCTCTCCATTTCTTCCCCAGGGCACCCAGCTTCATGTTGACACCCTCTTCTGTCCCCCACCCCACTGTCCCTTCTGAGCTCTGGGCTGGCGCTTTCTTTTTTCTGGCAAACAAACAAATAGACAAAATCCCCAGAAAAAAACACTCAGCTCTACTTCATCTCACTCATATCCAAAGGTTGGGGGCCTCTTTTCTTTCTTCTCTCTCTCTCCTCTGTTTTGTTTTCTTTTGTTAGGTTTATTTTATTTATTCCAAGTAAATGCCCAGAACAGCTGATGATGTCAGACAAATCAGGGACATTTGCTCTTTTACCTTCACCTCAAAACTGATGGCAAGGGGAGAAGAAAAAGCAAGGGCGAGAGTGGGGCAGGGGAGTGGAGCCTGGCCCTGCGGCGTGGGTCCAGATTCCCGGCATGATGTTTGGCTTCGGGGGGGCCCACCTGGATGGAACCACAGACGCCCTGGCCAGCCTGCTCTCAGCAGGACACCTGCTGCCACTGTGGGATGCAGCAGCCAGCCCTCAGCCAGACGAGCACGGCTGACTTACTCCGATCCACACAGGGACAGACAGCCCTGTTCCTGAGAGGAGGCTCATCGGACACTGGGGCAGAGCTGAGTTTGGGACACCAGTGGGAACAGGGCACCTCTTCTGCACTGACTTCCAGAAAACGGTTCTCCCTCTTCCCTGAGAACACCAGATTGGATGAGAGCGAGTTGGAGAGAAGAGTGAAATCACCGCTATCCTTCCCCTCCCCCCTCAGCCCAGGAGGGAAAGGGCATTTTCTTTTTCACCTTTGAAAGGCATTGTGGGTCTGTCTTTAAAGTGTTTACAAAAAAAAAAAAAAAAAATTATATATAAAAAAAAAAAAAAAAGTCTAGTGTCGACTGGTGTTTTCCCTCGTGATGTTTACAGATTAGCTATAACCCACTCAGCGACAGAACCAAATGTGGCCGCGTCCTTGCCACTAATGCTCTGACGGCGGGCGGGCACACACCTTCTCTTCCTTCACCCAGCACCCAGTCAGCTCTCGGTGTCACCAGCCTCTATCTAGGGGTTGGGTTGCTTTTGTTTTGTTTCTCCCTCCCATTTTTCTGGCTTGGTTTTGCACTTTTCTCCCCAAGGGACCCTAATATCTTGGTTTCATTGCCCCCCACCCCCTGGCAAAAAAAAAAAAAAATACACCCATCAAGGACTTTTTTCCACCTCTTCTCCCATGTCTTCCCCCTTCTTTCCTCCTGGTTCTGGTCAGTTCAGAGGATTTAACAACCACAAGTGTCCTGCAAAAATGCCTGAACATTTTTCTTAGGCCCTTGTGGGTTTTTCCCCCCAGAAAACTAAATAAACAAAAGACTAAATAAACATATCCTGCTACCCCTGTTTTCAGGCACTCTGAGAACATTTAGCCATTGATGTTCACACATGGCATCAGCCCATGCAAGATAGGTTTCTGTATTTATATATTTAAAAAAAAACTTATAAAATGTTTAAAAATGTTCAAAGCTTGGGAGAAAAGCTTTCTTCATCAGTCAAGGTGTTTGATATGGTATTAAAATAATGTCTAATAAAAGATAAACTGTGTGATGTTATTTTAATGAAGTATTGTTATACAATAAAGAAGTGAGGGCCAAGGCCTACCCCACCCCTCACCCACCTCCTTAGTGTTCCTTCAGCCAACTGTGCAGCACTGTGGATGTGCCATGGTTCTCAGACAGCTGTACCTGGGTAGAGGGGAAGTGGTGATTCAGGTGTGCATCCTACAACTCTGCTAACCCTTGTAAGCATTGTGGAACCAATCTGCCATCATCTGTGGAATAGAGTGGTTATAACCAAACTTTTCTGGAAAGATCTGCAGGGGCAAAGATCTTGCAGCCACTGGAGTCTGTAAGGATGTGGGTTACTCCAGGTACTACCCCAGCCCCTCCATCACAGCACCTGCTCCCAGTCCCATGTTCTGCTTGCCTGTTGCTCCATCCACATCTTAGTGCTGACTCATGGGCATGCTTCATTGAGGCCCAGGAAGAGGCCCTGATTTGGGACTGAGCCAGCTTAGAGCCCTTGAACCAGAACCAACCACTCAGGCTCACAAAAGTTGGCAAATTACAGGCTTGGCAGGACCTCAGGGCAGGGGGCAGCAGTGCATGTCCTGCCTCTGTCTTTGTGCCAGGCTCCAGGAGCTGCATTCCAGGGCTTCCTGAAGAGCCAGCCAAGGAAAGCTCTAGAGAGCCGATTCCGAACCTTCTGTGCCCTGTTCCTTCCCAGGCCTGCCCTTGTGCTGTTGCCTCAGGGCCTAACCCCACCAGGCCCAGGAGCCTGGACTGCGCTGGTACCGGGGCCCAGCTGAAGTCACCTGCCCTCAGATGCTTCCTGAAGCACCCACTCTGTAAGGATATTTATTGCAGGCTAGTGGGCATGCTCAGAACTGAAGAAGAGTTTGATTTGTAGCCTGGATGTCTGTATTGGAACCACTTTGGGTGGGAGTTGACGGCCATAACATGGGCTGTCCTCATTTGATCTCTCTACCTGTTGGCAAAATGGTCTTGGGGAAATGACACCATTCATCCGAACTTCAAATTCCTCTTGTATGAAGGGGGGACAAAATCACGCAGTTCTGAGGTCGCCATGAGGGTCAGGAGATCTACCCTGAAGGCCTGGCACTTGCACAGCAGGCTTCCTTATAGCTTTGTCACTGCAAAGGGCACTGTTCTATTCACAGCACCTCCTGCTCTGCCTGGCAACTGTGTCTCCCTGTTCTATATTTAATTCCACCAGCAAAGCTGCCAGGGCAGGGCCTAGCCCTGAAGGAGATCTCCTTGCTTGACCCTTGGACTTGGAGATGGAAGCTTTGTGTGCCCACCGTGGCTGTGTGAGCCTGGCTGCTTTGGCAGCACCACATGTGAGCTGAGTGGTTGTGAGTTGGGTGGGGCAAGGCTGGGGCCCACGCCGGTACTATTCCAGGCTCTCAGGGCTGGTGCTCATCTCCACCCCCAGTGACTTCCGCTCCCACCTGGCACACTGCAGCCCTCTGCTGGCTGCACAGTGCTCTGAATTCAGACCCAGGTTGCCAGCATCTGGTGTGGAGGTGGGACTGAAGTTGTCTGGGCTTCCCAAGTGGAGCTGGTGTTTGTCACCCTCCTCTCCAGAAGCCTGTATTGCCCCTTCTCTGCTGGGGACCCAGCATGCTTGTGGGAAGGGGCAGCTTCTAAAGAGGAGCCCCTTGTGAAAACCTTTCATCTTAACAGCCTTTAATAGTATTGAACTTTACAGGAGGATGACCTTATTCTTAGGAGGTAGATGCTGAATTATATACAGGTGAATGATTTTTTCAGAAATGTGTAATTCTAAATGGTCCCCCCCCCAAAAAGAAAATAAGGCAAAAATGTCTGTTGTTGAATCTTCAGTGGCTGGTATTTCATCACTGAACAGTGTACTTGTTCTTTTGACTCTTCTGTATGTCTGGAATTTTTCTTAATAAAAAATTGTGGGGAATTGGCCATTTGCTGTGCGCCTTCTAGTCACTAGACCCAGGGGGCAACATCAAAGAGCTGCAGGCAAGACTGGCCACTGGACAACACCTGGGAGGGCTGTGGGAGGGCCCTGCAGTCTGTTCAGAAGGGGAGGGGGAAGGGCTGGGGAGCTGTTTCCATGGTGAGCATGGTGGCTGATGGTTGGATTGCTTGCATACTGGGTGGTGTCAGGGGAGGGCCCAGGGGACTTGCCACCAAACCATCCTTGGCATAATCTCTGTTCCCAGCCAGAAACAGAAACGCCAGTGTGTCCTCAAACCCAGGTCAGTGTCACTGCTCTCTGCTGCAGCCCAGCGTTAGCACAAAGTAGGGATCCCAAGAATGGAGGGTGAGCAAGAGGGAGTTGCACAGTGACCTACTCCCCCCCGCGCCCCCCCCCCGCCCCCATGGAAGGGTTGGTTAGGGACTGAGAGGGTTGAGGGGAAAGCATGATGTGAGCAGAAGGGTGCTGTTTCCCTGCATTGGCTCCCAGCATCCCTCATCCAGCCCCTTTGCTAAGAGGGCCAAAGACCTGGGAGTGAGGGAGATAAGTGGCACTACAGGTTCCTGGGACCTACAGTGAGTGGAGGGCTTACAGATTCCCTGCCAGGTCCCTCCACAGCCCTGGGAGGTGGGTGGCCCAGGGCTAAAAGTTTCAGGCCCTGGACAGAAGAGTCCTGGGCCGCAGCTGCTGTGGTGTCTTGAGTTTACTGGTTTCGGGCACCCTCTAGTGGGCTTTGGGAGAACAACTGCTAAGGACCTTAGGGGCCCTGGCTAGGGATCCCAAGACAGGCAGGCCTCAGGGTGGGATGACCTTGATTTGGAGTGTATACCATGGAGCAGTGTGGTGCAATGTTAATCTCACTCCCATTTCTAACAATTGGTAGCAGCTGCTTGAAGAATGTGTTCAGAGTTCTAAGGCCCAGCTGGAGCCTAGTGGGACCTCCACTGTGGGTAGGTCCAAGGTTCTCAGAAGCAAGAGAAGTTGGAACAGGGACCTGCTTCCTTCCAAAGTCTGAGCACCATCCTTTTCCCCAGGGTTCCATAAATCAGAGGACAGGCCCCAGACAAATGGGTCACTATCTAGAGGAAGAGAGGGTGTATATGGGAAGTGTTGCCTGCTGATCTCCAGACAGCTATAAATGGGGTTCAGATTCATTTGGGAGGCCCCTCCCCTTTCAGGAAAGGAGCATGCCTATCAACCCAAGTAGATGAAGGGTTGATAAAGGGTCCTGGGTGTCAGCAGTGGGGAGACCTTGACAGGGATATGATCTTAGTCTTGGGGTGGGCCCACATCATCTCCCCCAACCAGTACAGGGTATGTGAGATCAGAGAGAAAGCAGCTTCACCAGGAACCACGCTGGGTCATTTACTGGACCAAAGGCTTTTGAAGACAGCAAGAGGGCCAGGGAGGGAGCCCAGCTTCTCTCCTGGCTTGAACTCTAGGCCCCAGCTACAGAGGGCTACAGAGGGCTAACTGGCAGGCAGAAACAGCATCTGCACTGTCCATCCTTTGCAGGGTAGCTAAGTATTCGGAGCTCCTCACAGCACCTTGCCTGGGTTCATGAGGCTTCGGGGGTCCAGCATGACCTTGAGCTGCCGCATGGTCTCCATGCCAACAGCACCAATCTCCTCCTGCAGTAGCTGCCGCTTGCCCAGCCCAATGCCATGCTCCCCAGTACACGTCCCATGGAGTGCCAGTGCCCGCCTAGGATATCATGAGAAGGAATACCTTAGTGGACTCCTCTCCCACTTCCTCTGCCCTCCCCCACCCAGCCCATCTCAGGTTCAACTCTTACCTGCCCAGCTTTTTTGTGAAGGCTGTGACCCTGTGGTGCTCCTCATCATCATCTGGGTTGACCAGCAAGATGCAGTGGAAATTGCCATCACCCACATGCCCAACAATGCCTCCTGTGGACCCAGAGGACTAAGCTGTTGCCTCCAGCCTCCCCTGCCCTTGGCCCAGGCACTGGTGGGCCTCAGTGCCTCCCCACCTCACTCCAGGTGAGTAGGCAGAACCTTTAAGTCCGGAGGTCTTCAGTTCCTCCTTGGTCTGCACCAGGATCTCCGGCAACCGGGAGATGGGCACACACACATCAGTGGAATAGCCCTGGGTCAGAGAGCAGACTGGTGAGGCTCTCCCCATCCCCATCTGTCTGCCTAAAGCTAAGGGTCACTGTGATCAAGTCTGAGGGGATTTGATTTCAGCTCTTGGCCTCACAGAAGGAAATGGCTTGCTCTTCTCTAGACAGTTGTACCAGATTGTGTTCCCCAGGCCTTGCCAGCCCAGACCTTCACCACTGCCCTGGTTTTCCACCCTTGGCTTTGTGCAGGTCCCCTTTTCCCCTGCACTACTGAGCCTCTGCTTGCGCTGCCTAGAGCCCAGCTTCCCCCTCTGGGTAGAACTTCCCTCTCTGTTCAAAACTCCCGAGAGCATGCATGGTTGCAGGAAGGGCTCCCTAGTGTGATTGGACACTAGACAGCCTCTGAGAAACAGTCTATAACCCCAGCTTCTAGTGCCCACCCAGCCACTTGAGCCTGCTGTTTCGAACAACCTGATAGTGGGCTGAGGGAAGGATTTGTGGGCTGAACAGTGGATTCCACCTCCATCCCCATCCCAGCTCACCTTGCAGCCTGGAGACAGGGCTAGGAGTGCATACCAAGCATTGTGCCGGGCTGCCCAAAGCTGGTTGCGCTCCTCACTCTCTTTGGCCCAGGAGAAGTGGGAGGCTCCATTTTGCTGGGTGATCGCCTCTGCAGTAGGGAAAAGTTGACCCAGGCCCTACACTGGGGCAGCCCAGGCTCTGCTGCCCCACCCTCAACACACCTGTGTGCTGCACTTGCTCTGCCAGTGCCTGCTCGGAACCGTGGAACTCAAGAAAGAGTGTGGGCGCCACGGCGCAGCTCAGCTTGCTGTGCCTATTGCAGGCGTCCATTGTGACATCATCTAAGAACTCTGGGGCCAGGAAGAGGGATGCCCAGTGAGGTTTGGCCTTCCAAGGGGGTCTCTTCTGTGCAGCCCACCCTAACTGCACCAGTCCTTGGCTCACCAATGCGGGCCACAGGCACTGCAGC